ATATATGAGGCAGAGAAACTGGGAATGTACTTGTCAACATCACTATTTTATTGATATCATAAGTTGTTTATCATCATTATCATTATCTATAATACCATCATCATTATTTGTAGTATTAGTAATAGTACCATTATTATCGTCGATTTTCTGTTTTCTGTGATGTAATTCACCTGTCTCTCAGTTTCCCGTTTTGTTACGTGCTAGTAAATTCCTGTTAGCTTTGTGTTTCCTGAATATATTATGAAAATGAGCATCATAGATCAGTGTCGCGTAACGCTGTGTATTATATTTCTCTCTCTCACACACACACACACACACACACACACACACACACACACATATATATATTGTAGGTATATATATATATATATATATATATATATATATATATATATATATATTGTAGGTTTATATATATATAGCTATATATATATATATATATATATATATATATATATATATATAAATATATATGGTATAAAAATATTAGGTGTATACATACATACATATATATATATATATATATATATATATATATATATATATATATATATATATATATGTATATACATATATATATGTATATATATATATATATATATATATATATATATATATATATATATATATATATGAATATACATGTACACGTATTTTATGAGTAGCTTATTGATTAGGCTGTATAAATTCTTACAAGATTATTTAGGCTCGGAGCGAAATAATTCTAGGCACGTAGCTCATCAGCCTCTCACGTTTTCCTCATTGAGATGCGTCCTCACGTTTTCCTTGGCGTCAGCATTGCCAATGGTTTGTAAAAAAAAAAAAAAAAAAAAAAAAAAAAAAAAAAAAAAGGTTTCAGATCATTTGCGAAATGTAAGATGGGGGGGGGGGGGAAATATGTTAAATATCACCATCTCGAAGGGAGATTAGAGATTGTAAGTTCGTTTTTTTTTTTACGTAAATGGTAGTTTTAAAAAATATTATACACACCGTGATTAGTGTTTACGATCTGGGACGTTGGCGATGCTGGGCCGGCTAAGTGGAGGGGGGACTGAGGTAGTGGCGTTTTCCATAACATTTTTATCCCAGGCCGCGCGGCAGAGTGCACCACGAACCTAAAGGCATTTCGAGGAAAAACATAGGATAAATATATGGATTTGAATTTGCTTAAGGATGGACCCGTTTCGTGTGCTTGAATATGTATGATAGTGTGTGTGTGTGCGCGCGCATACACACACACACACACACACACACACACACACACACACACACACACACACACATACATATATACATATATATGTATACTATATATTATATATATTATACAGTTTCGACATCTACCTATATATTACATATAATATATAAGTAGATATATATTATATATTATATATAAGAAGATATATATCATATATAAGTAGATATATATTATATATTATATAAGTAGATATATATTTATATTATATGATATATATTATTATATATTATACAGTTTCGAAATCTTCAGGTCTGATGATGGAATGCAGGTGGATTTCGAAATTGCTGTCTCATTTTCAGAAAATCTATTTTTTGCTTCGTGTGTTTTTATACCACAGTATCAACACGGAAGAGTGTTTTACCATTCACACATGCACATGTATGCATATGAATATACATCATAATATATATGTATATATATGTGTGTGTGTGTGTGTGTGTGTGCGTGTGTGTGTGTGTGTGTGTATGCGTGTGTGTGTGTGCGTGTGTGTGTGTGTGTGTGCGTGTGTGTGTGTGTGTATAATACGCACAAACCCACTGCATATAGTAAACAGGGCTACTATTGCATTCAAATGTTGCACATCGTAAGGCGGATTTGCTAAATGGCAGTCTCTCTTCTGTCGCCATATGTATCCATTCATGCGCGATCTATTTCCATTTCCTTTTACACTCAGAATGAGAGAGGGAGAGGGAGAGAGGGAGAGGGAGAGGGGGATGGAGGCGGAGAGGGAGAGAGAGAGAGAAAGGGAGGGAGAGGGAGAGAGAGAAAAAAGAGAGAGAGAGAGAGAAGAGAGAGAGAGAGAGAGAGAGAAGAGAGAGAGGGGGGGAGAAAGAGAGAGAGAGAGAAAAAAAAAAAAGAAAAAGAAAGAGAGAGAGAGAGAGAGAGAGAGAGAGAGAGAGAGAGAGAGGTAGGGAGAAGGAAAAGAGGGAGAGAAAAGGAGAGAGAGTAAGAATGAGACGAAAATTGAAACCAAGAGGGGAAAAAAAAATCCCAACTTGCATCTGAAACACTGACGTTCGCATGGTCTCAGCGCAGTCAGTACCGTTTTGCCGATTCAGCTTGACGTATAAAAGGAATTTCTCTCTTTTGACTCAAGGCCGGCGCCTGTGATGAGAGATTCAGAGCCTCGGGTGTGCAATGGATGTCCGGATTAGCTTGTTGCAAATCTCATTGCTTTCTGCATGCGTAGCTGTTTCAAGTATAGCTCTTGGTTTGCATCCACAGTTGGTGAGGAAATCTGCTTTATATGCAAGATTGCAATCCGGTGCTTAAATTTTTATTTTCATTTATTTTTTTTTTTCATCTTTACTTTAACGACTGATTTTTTTATATACTGTAATATGGATAGTAACGCTGATGTTTTTTTTATGTATCTTCCGGCTGTGTGGAATCGCTGCATTCGAAGCTTAGAGACTTATTTGTGGTGATTAAGTGGCGACAAAACGTTAAAAAAACAAAAACAAAAAAAAAAAACAAGCGCAGTCCCGCCTCTAAATGTCATCGAACAGAAAACGGGGAAGCGGGAGGGCGGGAAAAGGCATTCCTGGAAAAGTTCAAATTGCTTTCATATATCTCTTAATTTTATTTAGACCGCAGGAAAATGAGCGATTTTCCCCCCGGTTCAATGTTTGAACTTTTGAAATCATTTTCCAGGTGGGCGAAGAGTGGTGGAAGTGGAAGGCGACTTTTTCCACATTATCACTGAAAAATTTATATGTCCGTGCACTTATGATGATATGTATATATATATATATCTATATATATATATATTATATATTATATATATTATACAGTTTCGACATCTACCTATATATTACATATAATATATAAGTAGATATATATTATATATTATATATATTATACAGTTTCGACATCTACCTATATATTACATATAATATATAAGTAGATATATATTATATATTATATAAGTAGATATATATTATATATATTATACAGTTTCGACATCTACCTATATATTACATATAATATATAAGTAGATATATATTATATATATATATATATATGTATATACATATATATGTATACCATATATTATATATATATATATGTATATATGTGTGTGTGTGTGTGCGCGCGCATACACACACACACACACCACACACACACACACACACACACCACACACACACACACATATATATATTGTAGGTATATATATATATATGAATATACATGTACACGTATTTTATGAGTAGCTTATTGATTAGGCTGTATAAATTCTTACAAGATTATTTAGGCTCGGAGCGAAATAATTCTAGGCACGTAGCTCATCAGCCTCTCACGTTTTCCTCATTGAGATGCGTCCTCACGTTTTCCTTGGCGTCAGCATTGCCAATGGTTTGTAAAAAAAAAAAAAAAGGTTTCAGATCATTTGCGAAATGTAAGATGGGGGGGGGGGAATATGTTAAATATCACCATCTCGAAGGGAGATTAGAGATTGTAAGTTCGTTTTTTTTACGTAAATGATAGTTTAAAAAAATATTATACATACCATGATTAGTGTTTGCGATGTGGGACGTTGGCGATGCTGGGCCGGCTAAGTGGAGGGGGGACTGAGGTAGTGGCGTTTTCCATAACATTTTTATCCCAGGCCGCGCGGCAGAGTGCACCACGAACCTAAAGGCATTTCGAGGAAAAACATAGGATAAATATATGGATTTGAATTTGCTTAAGGATGGACCCGTTTCGTGTGCTTGAATATGTATGATAGTGTGTGTGTGTGTGCGTATGCGTGTGTGTGTGTGTGGTGTGTGTGTGTGTGTGTGTGTGTGTGTGTGTGTGTGTTGTGTGTGTGTGTGGTGTGTGTGTGGTGTGTAAAAAACAAGCGCAGTCCCGCCTCTAAATGTCATCGAACAGAAAACGGGGAAGCGGGAGGGCGGGAAAAAGGCATTCCTGGAAAAGTTCAAATTGCTTTCATATATCTCTTAATTTATTTAGACCGCAGGAAAATGAGCGATTTCCCGGTTCAATTTGAACTTTTGAAATCATTTCCAGGTGGGCGAGAGTGTGGAAGTGGAAGGCGACTTTTTCCACATTATCACTGAAAAATTTATATGTCCGTGCACTTATGATGATATGTATATATATATATATTATATATATATATAGATATTATATATATATATATATTATATATATATATATATATATATATTTTTTTTTTTTTTTTTTTTTTTTTTTTTTTTTTTTTTTTTTTTTTTTTTTTTAGCATTCCACCAACGAATTAAAATGTGGTGTTTGAATGCAAAAGTAGCTCAGAGAATTTGATGATGAATATTTAAATTATCCTCATGCTCAGAAAAAGACAGCATTCTTTGCCCTTTCTGTCAACCCGTTGCTTAGATATAATTAATTTTAATTTTTGTCCATCTACACTGCCTATCTGCTTCGAAAAAAATCGAATATTGTACGTTATAAGTCGTATAATATTCAACTTCGTATAATATTCAGTTTTGTATAATGTTCAGGTAATATTCACATATGCAAATGTTTCAAATGTTACATAGAATTACATTTTTTTTTATAATAAAACCTAGGGTACACTATACCAACACTCGACACACCGCTTTACACACAGCACAGACTCTACCAACGCCCAAGACAGATAATATATCAGGTCCTCAGCCTCCTCCTCAATATATAAGATGATATATAAGGTCTTCCGCCTCCTGCCAGCGTGACGAGACGAGTCCTAACGCCCTCCCTTCTCCCCCTCCTGCAGGTGCGGTTGTCTCGGCAGTACCGCGTGTCCGCCATCCCCTCCCTGGTTCTCCTGGACAGTCGCAGCGGCCGGGTCATCACCAAGTCGGGTCGGGAGATGGTCAGCAGCGACCCCGAGGCGCTGACCTTCCCTTGGCGACCTCGGGCTCTGGGTGACCTCCTGGCGGCCACGAGTCTCGTCGACCCCCAGGGCCAGGTGGTGGCCTACGACGCCATCAAGGACGCCTACAAAGGACTCTACTTCTCGGCGCACTGGGTGGGCGGAGCTGTTGTGCTGTTGGTTGATTATATATGTGTGTGTGTGTGTGTGTGTGTGTGTGTGTGTGTGTGTGTGTGTGTGTGTGTGTGTGTGTGTGTGTGTGTGTGTGTGTGTGTGTGTGTGTGATGGCTAGATATTGATATAGATATACATGAACATTTCTTAATGAGTGTGTGTTCAAGCGCGAGCGCATGTACCTATTCGTATATGTGTCTACGACATACATATATATATATATATATATATATATATATATATATATATATATATATATATATATATATATATATATATATATATATATGGAAAAGGTATGAATGAGAAGGAATATCTTTACAATACAAGAGATGTATTTGACTGGTTTTGATTATATTGTGTATTTCTGACGAAGATACAATCGAAACCGGTCAAATACATCTCTTGTATTGTGAAGATATTCATTCTCATTCATACCTTTTCTACATTTGTCAACATAAATACGGTTCATATATATATACATATATATATATATATATATATATATATATATATATATATATATATATATATATATATATATACATACGTACACTATACGTATATACATACCCACGTCCCTTTTAATCGACACATGAACCCACCTTCATCGCGCCACGCATCTCACACACCAAATGAATCCCCCCCCCCTTGTCTCACAGAGCGACCCCCTTTTTAATCAGTACATCACCCCCCCCTCTCTCTCTACCCACAGTGCCCCCCCTGCAAGGCCTTCACGCCGCAGCTGATATCCGTTTACGAGAAGATCAAGAAGAAGGAAGGGAATTTTCAGATGATCTTCGTCAGTTCCGACAGGTGAGGAAGGAGGAAGGGGGAAGGGGGATGGGGAGGAGGGGGATAAAAGGGGAGGAGGAAGGGGGGGAAGAAGTGGAAGAGGGTGGAAGGGGGAGGGGGAGGGGGAGGGGAGGGGGAGGAAGGGGAAGGGGTTGGGGAAGGGGGAGGAGGAGGGAGGAGGGGGAAGGGGAGGAGGGGGAAGGGGAAGGGGAGGAGGAGGAAGAGGGGGAGGAGAAGGGAGAGGAGGAGGAGGAGGAGGAGGGAGGAGGAAGAGGGGGGGAAGGGGGAGGAGGAGGGAGGGGAAGAAGGGGTAGGGGGTGGAGGAGGAGGGGGAGGAGGGAAGGGAAGGGGATGGAAAGGGAGGAGGGGAAGGGGAGGAGGAGGAGGGAAAGAAGGGGAAGGGGGGAGGAGGAGAAGGGAGAAAAGGATGGAAGAAAAGGAGGAGGAGGAGGAGGAGGTGGAGGAGGAGAAGGGAGAAAGGGAGGGAAGGAAAGGAGGAGGAGGAGGAAAGGAAAAGGGAAAAAAAAGGAAGGCAAAAGGTAAGAAGAGAGGAAACAGAGAATTAAGGAGGAAAATAGATAGATAGATAGATAGACAACCACATACAGACAGATAATAGTTAACCTGCTTGATAACTACTGTACACAAACCCGATCACACATAAAAGCCTTACCAACGCCCTCATCACCGAATCCACACACACACACAAACACACACACACACAAACACACAAACAAACACAAACACACACACACCCAAACGAACCTGCGTGCAAATCCCCACCTCCCACGCCTTCTGCAGGAGCGAGGAGTCGTGGCGGGCGTATCACAGCACGATGCCCTGGCTGAGCGTGGCCTGGGAGTGCGAGGATGTGAGGAGGGAGCTGGCGACGAACCTGGAGGTGCAAGGCATCCCCACCTTCGTCGTGCTGGCGCCTGACAACACGGTTATCACGGCGGAGGGAAGGGCGGAGCTCACGGAGGATCCTGAGGCTGAGGTGGGTGCTGGGTTTAGGGGTTTTTAGGGTTTTTAGGTGTGTTTGGGGGTTTAGGTGTGGACGAAATCTGGTTTTAAGGTGTAAACATATCTGACTTTAGGTGTGGACGAAATCAGATTTTAAGGTGTGGACGAAATATAATTTTAAGGTGTAAACACATCTGACTTTAGGTGTGGATGAAATCCGATTTTAAGGTGTGGACGAAATATAATTTTAAGGTGTAAACATATCTGACTTTAGGTGTGGATGAAATCTGATTTTAGGTGTAGACGAAATTCTAGATTTTTGGTTTCAGGTTTTATTATTATTATTTTTATTTTTTTGGTTTTGATTTTTTTGGTTTTAGATTCCGTTCAGCCAAATCAAAATTCCGAATTTAGTTACGCAAACGTTTAGTACGTTTCTATGACGTTCCTACATTGTACAGGCCTTTTGAGAACTATGGGATCGCTTGAAAACAGATTTGGTCTAAATTCAAAAATTCGTCAACATTTAAATTCCATCAACATTCTGTTTTCGTCCACATTCAAATATCTCAACATTCAAATTTCTCAACATCCAAATTTCTCAACATTCAAATTTGTCAACATTCAGATTTCGTCAATATTTAAATTTCAACATTCGGTTTTCGTCCACATTCAGATTTCTCAACATCCAAATTTCTCAACATTCAATTTTCGTCCACATTCAGATTTCGTCAGC